TGAAAATGTCCTGATGTGAGATTCATCCACCTCCAGAACCAACAGAACCTCCTCAGCCCGATCAGAACCTACAGAACTCCTGCTTTATGTCTTTATTCAGCGTTTGATGGATCCAGAACTTGATCTGTAATTCCTCTCTCAGTGATCTGGATCCGTTTTTCCTCTTCTTTTGTATTCCTGATGAAGTTCTGCAGCGTCTCTTTAAGAACTGAAATATTCCTTCATAGGAACCAGAACCTCTGATCTTCTGGGCCTGTTCCAGTCTCCGAGGTTCTGCTGACTCACTAAACACCAACATTCAGAAAACGGATGTTCTCATGTTCTGCTCAGCGGTTCCTGACACCAGCTGAGCTCCACAGACAGCAGAACGTCCGGTGGACTGATAAATGTTCTGATGTTCCTCATCTGAACTGAGACCCTTCATGTTCTACTGTTTTAGAACACATTTAATGTAAAAGTCAGCTCATATTCAGAATTCAAACTTCTGAAAGTACTTTAAATATTCCTGTCTAAATGTTTGTTGGTCTCTTATTCCTCCCAGACCAGGAATCCCCAAAGCCGCTCCGGAGGGTCGCTGTCCTGCAGGTTTTAGAGGTTTCTCTTCTGATTAGCATTTGCTCAATTCCAATCATCATAACCAGCAGTGCTGAAGCAGGGAAACCTCTAAAACCTGCAGGACAGCGGCCCTCCAGGGGCGGCTTTGGGGAGGCCTGACCTAGACCCAGCCAGGGGACGCAACAGCTGCTTCTCCATGCTTGGAGAAAATGTCGTTCATCCATACGTTGATTTCTATGGGTTCACAGTCACCTGGTGACATGGAGATAAACACCTGGGTGTCGTCTGCATCGCTATGGTAACTGATGTTGCTCTGAGGTGGATTAGGAGATGACACACAGACCAGCAGGTGGAAGATCTGCATCTCGGGTTAGAGGTGAGCAACAAACCTTCACATCCTGCTTTGGTTCTCTAGCAGCAGGTGTGAAGGTGGATGAATGAACCGACTGAAGACGGTTTTCCCATGAGATCCACATCCTGACTGTTCTGGACCTGCCTTCAGGAGGTTTCTGACTCCCACCACTTCCTCGCACAGACGAAGATCTGTTTTTTCTCTTTTTAGTTCCCGGCAGAAGCACGACAGTCCAATAATTTGATCCCAGCACAGAGAGGGGGGCAGCGTAACCAGGCAGCTGAAAGGCTTCATCAGGAGGTAATAAAGTGAAAGCAAACATTTGCACTTTTCATTCCTCTGGAGCCTGAAACAGCCCAGCACACCTCCTGACTGCAGCTTTATGTGTGATCTGCAGGGGAGATGTTTCCTCTTGTTTCTGAGCAGGAGGATGTTCATCTGGCACGCCTGTTTAAACAAAGAGAACCTCTGCAGGGGGAGAGGGCCGTTTCCCAGGCGCCACCGCTGGCGTCAGAGACACAAATCAAAAGGAGAGCATCTGGGTCCCTCCATAGCAACGGGCTGACTCCGTTTCTATGGTTTCTCCAGGACCAAAGCATGTGGGCTCCGCTCCACCTGCAGCAGGTTAATCACTGCAAACTCTGTCATCTCGCTGGGGTTCAGGGAGCAGATTCCTTCACATCTGCTTGAAGGCTTCTGCCGCTCCCCCCTCCTCAGAGAATCAGGTGAACCTCTAACAGACATCAGGAGGGGGTTCAGCGCTAGCTTTTCCTCAGCTTTCTGGGTTTTAAAGCTCTGAGCTGAAGCAGCAAAGCACACAGATGATGAAGATGTGATTTCGTTTCTAACTTCTTCCCCTCCCCTTGTGCGCTGCCTCCTTGGAGCGGTGGCTGAGTCCGCCTGCTGTTGCCACGCAACCATCAGAGTAACGGGAAACGTTATTGGAGAAGTCGTTAACTAAAGGCAGTGTTAGAACTGAGTCACTTCTTCTGCCCCCTGATTTATCACATCAGCAGAGTGGGAGCTTTTCTCTCTGTGTGACAGCAGCTGATGAGCCCCACCCTGATGGAGACGCCCCCTGCTTCCCCAGAGTCAGAACCACACCCTGATCCACTGACCCCCTTCAGCCGCTAATTCCATTTCCTGCTGCCAGCTTTGCTGAGTGATTGCCCCGACCGGCTCCATGCATGGGGGGGGGTGACTGTGTGAGTGTGAGCGCCCATCTGTTGGAGCAGGTTTCTGCAGAGGAGGCACATTTGGTGAACGAGCAGCGATGGTTCTGCTCAGTTTTTGAGCAGTTTGTGACATTTAATCATTTTTACTCCAACAGTTTGTAGTTTCTGTCCTCTGGTTGAAACAGAGCAAGTAAAGCAGCTTATTGATGAAACATAGCAGCTGCTGCAGCCTTTACTGCAAAAGCCAACCTGAAAATCATTCAGTTCTATTCAGTTTATTTCTATAGTGCCAACACATATCATCTCAAGGCAATTTCCAGTTCACCAGATCATCCAGTCAGATTGATTCAAAGTTTTCTATCTAAGGAAAACCAGTTAATTCCTTCCCAAAAAAAAGAAAAAAGAAAGAAAAAGATTACTGCTTTATAAATAAGTCCCCTAAAACCAGAAGCACATTTTGGGAACTGGTTAATAATGTCAGAATAATTGGTATTGGCACCGGTCAGTATCAGTCTATCTCTACTTGATGACTCACATTTCTTTAATTATTCAGTCGGTTTATTGTTTGGTTCTTATGTAATAATGTTTATTGTTGCAGAATTAATCTGATGCAGAATTAATTTATTGTTTTATCCATTTATTCAGATCCTGCAGCCTAACGAAGGACTTGTAATCTGCTCTCCTCTTCCTCCCTAATTTCAGTCCGTTCTTTGCTTCAGACATGAACCAGAGGAAGGTTTCTGAATCAAAGCTGCGCCGGCCGGCTGCCTTTGGGCTTTAATTTATTCACTGTTACTGGTAAGAACCTCTTAACTGTCAGAAACCATTGTTCCCAGTCCCAAAGGCTAAATGGGAGCAGCTTCTTAATGGGAGGAGCAGAGAAACGCACCTCAGCAGCTTCTGCTGATGCTGTTTTTAATAAGAGTAGGAGTCAAACTGACCATTAAAGTAATGAGGTCAGAGGTCATGAGGGTCACATGGGAAGGGGGGGCTCATGCTTTGCTAACAGCATCTTCTGCACAAAGGGGGGGGGGGGGGTCGTTATTAATCTAATGACTCAGTTCACCTGTTATGGTTTCACCACAGCTTTTCAAAGAGACTGAGCTCCGGACTTTGAGGCCGCTGCAGATTTTTAGCCCCTTTAGCTGCTGTGTTTGGGATCCTGATCCCATTGGTGATCGGTTTGGATCCAGTGGATATCCAACCACCAACTGAACTCTCTGGTCCAATAAAACCCTTTGATCAGCTGTGCTGGGTCATGACCTTTGACCTGTAGAGCCTGAGGTGAGGCATTTCTCTGAGCTTCCCTGCTGAGACGTCCACTCCCTGGAAGATCAGCAGCTTTCTGAGATCTTCTCCTCTCTGGAATCATCGCTGTTTTTAAAAACCTCTTCCTTTTCCATTTTGGTTCAGATTTACCGACTAAAAAAGAAAGAATAAAGTTCACCTGAGATTGGATTAGATTGACTGAATTATATTCTGTTTCCTGCTGATATAAAACTATAGTATAATCTTTCTCCTGTGTGGCTGATGGTCTAGAGCAGGTGAATGTTAATTATTCCACTGGTTGATTCCAACTTCATCCACAGAGAGATTAGTAACAATCTCAGCTTCTAATCTTTGGGATTAAATCAGCAACATTAATCTGGTAATCTCATATTAATGGAAACAGAGTCAAAACAGATGATTTATTAAAAAAGTTGAACACTGAATAGCATCCATTTCTATTATTTACAAAGCTTCCCCTTTGATCTGCTGTTTGAAGCAGGAAGTTAGTTTTTCACCGATGGATTAAGAACAAACCAGATGATGATGATGATGATGATGATGATGATGATGATGATGATGATGCCATCCGGGCTCTGGGCGTCAGAAACCTGGTTAGTTTTTAAAACTCACAGATCACTTACAGATGCTTGTTTCACTGATCAGGTTTTACTTTGTCACTGAGAAAAGTTTATGTTTTAGTTCCAGCAGGAAAGGAGAAAACCACCTCAGGTCTCCTATGGATTACATCCGTCAGCTCTTAGAGTCTCTAGTCTGAGAGTTTTCCTCATTCTGAGTCAGATTAGAAGGAGAACATCTCCTTAAGCAGGAGGGATTTACCATTAGGCAATACTAGGGCCCCAAGTTCCTGGGGGCCCCATAAAACTCTGCTTCCATGTATGGTTAATACAACTATTCCTTAATTATGTTTTTGATAAAAATCCTTTGGCTAAAATGCCATCAGAACGCTGATAATATTAAGTGTGTCTCAGCCCCCCCCCCTTCAGTGTCCACCATATTGGATCAGTCCATTTGCTGCACATGTTCAGAAAGGTCCAAACAGACAGCAGCAAACCATTTGAAAACAAACCATGCAAAGAGCAGTGTTGCCAACTTAGCGCTTTAGTCGCTATATTTAGCCACTTTTCAGACCCCTCTAGCACTTTGATTTCTAAAAAGCTCCTAGCGCCAAATCTAGAGACTTTTTTCTGCTACTGGAGACTTTGGAGACAACATCTAAAAGCAGCGAACTCTGCTCTCCAGAGCGAGTAGATTGGTAACCCCGCCTCCTGCTCTCCTCTATCTTGTCTGCTGTCATGATTCATGCAGCTATTATTTCATCCAAATGAAAAATGGAGAACAGATAAGCAGATCATGGCTTGTCTACAGTGAAAAGAAGGACTGGGTTATTTACTTTGGCCTTTTTGGAAACACAGGAAGGAGCAATCAGCTAAGTGAGCTTAGTGCTTGGAAAAAATCTTTCATTCCTTTAGAGACAGCATGAAAAGTCAGCTGAGTACAAAACATAGAGAGGAAAACAAGAAGAAAAGGGACAAGAAGAGAGGGACACAACCTAGAACAGATAATGGATGTCTATTCTATTAACATTTCTACATCTGGAGAATGGGGCTGTTTGATGTGTTGGCTTCTCCATTCAGAGGGCCTCCTGCCTGTCTTTGCCAAGGGCCCCACATTTCCTTAATCCGCCCCTGCCTAAGTCTTCCTTCTTGTTGCATCTTTTAGAGGCGCTGAATGAAAGTGAAATAAATTAGTTTAAAGTCTTGTTTTATTCGGTCCATAAATTCAGCTGAAAACCTCCAGGTCCTCCTCCGCTGCAGGGACAGTAGAGCAGGACTCCAGGGTCGAGCTGGATCCCGCTCTAAGACTCATGGATCCGTACAAGTTGGCAGAATGTTTGCAGTAAGCAAAGGCTTTCCTCCGCATCATCTCCCCCTTCCACATGGAGACCATGAGCAGCGTGGAGAGCAGGACGCCCCCCAGGGTCAGCAGGCAGAGTCCCGCTATGACGCATCGGTCCAGATGGGCCCCCACGCTGGCTCTCTCCCGCTCCAGGCGCTCCATCTCCCTGGCGGACACGCTGTCCGGGTCCACGCGCACGTCCCTGGGGATGGTGTAGGTGATGGCGACCAGGGAGATGCCGCTGACCAGGCAGGACACGGCGGTGATGAAGCCGTAGTCCACGGAGCTCCGTGAGCCGTCAGAGGACAGCTCATCCTCGGACAGAAGGTAAAGTTCTGTGGTGTCCTCCTCCTGCTCCTCCTGCTCCTCCTCCTGCTCCTCCTGCTCCTCCTGCTCCTCCTCCTGCTCCTCCTGCTCCTCCTGCTCCTCCTCCTGCTCCTCCTGCTC